AATGTTTTTTCCTTCAATAGGAAACAGGATCAAGTCATTTTATAGAAAAGCGTGATTAAAATATTAATTCAAACCATGCTCTGGTTTGGCCTTTACAGTATTTATTTTTATTATTGTAAAAATCAAAACCTAATAAGAAGAATAAATTAATTACTCAACCTATTATATAGTCCTTATGTGGCAGGCAGATCAAGGGCCTCCCGGGAACCACAGTTCAGGTGCCTGAGTCCCCAGGGATGCAGCGCTTGCCTGGGGTGATAATAACAGCCCAGATGTTATCACATCTGCGGCGAGAGAGCTGGAGAGCGGCATGGGGCTGCTTATGGGAGGCAGAGATCAGACAAATAATTTTTCTGGTCTCTTCCACACCAAAGAGGTCTGTATTTCCACCAAAGAGCAGATCTCATTTCTATAAACCTAATTTGCGTTCGCGTTGATTTTATCTTTGCTTTGGACAAACGCGAGTGTATTTAGCATACCCACTCATTACCAAAATTCCAAGAGGAGCCCACAGGCGTCACCATGGCTTTTTCTTTCTTTCTTTTCTTTTCTGTCTCTCCCTCACCCCCCTTGCAGCCCGAGAGGGGAATAAGGATGTTCATTTGCTGGTGCGAGAAGGAGCCGCTTTTCCATCCATTACGCAGTCCCCTGGGAGTGTTAAATGCAACTTTAGGAGGAACGAACGAAGAGCAGGACATCGCTGGAGGGAGCGAGTGAGTCCTACGTAGTCGTCGCGCCGGGTGTCCAGGCTTAACCTAATCCTTCCTGACACCCTTCCCGGCGGCTCCCTCAGCTCTCCCTCGAGTGAAGGAAGGGCCCTGCAGAGGGCGAGCGGTGGATCCTGCCCGCTCCCCAGGGAAACACTCGCCAACAGGGATCATGAAGAGTGCAGTGGGCAGAAACGCAAACAGCACAGGTTTGGGCCCAGGTGGACCTCCAGAGGGCGAGGTGAACTCCAGAGTACCCGAATCTCATCTCGGTTTAGCCTCCGACGCTGGCAGGACACCAGTAAACGTAGGGGGAGGCTCCCAGCCTGAGGTCAAGAATTCATTGCCCCGCTGAGACTACACTCTTAGCTTACCTCTCTTTGGACACCAGGTCCCTTCTCACCTCGGGATGGGGGCAGATCTCGGCCCAGAATGTCTGGCTTTTCCTGGGGCTAGAAATATGAGGGCTGTGAGTACAATTTCCAATCCACGCCGCACCCCAACCAAAGGATTGGAAGTCCATTTGGAGCATATCTGTGTCCACCGTGGCACTTAACAAGGTGCTTGTCATAGAATAAAAATGCCCCATAAAACAATATATGTGTGTTAGGAAGGAACAGACGGCAGATGGGGAGAGCCAGGAGCAAAGCCAGAGCTAATCGGGGGCAAGCAGGAAGGTCACTGGAGTAGTCTCTTCTTTCCCTAAAAAGGAGATGGAGACTGGGCCTGAGGGGTATTTCAGAAGTCAATCATTTCATCCCTCCCTCATTTACTTTCCACTTTACCTTTCTTCCTCAAATGCTTTCTGAGCACAAGTCTGGACCAGGGCAAGACACTGGAGATAAAATGAGTTCTAAAACATGGCTATCAGTCCTCCAGGAAGTGGCAGTCCCTGGGAGTGAGGCAGCTACAGGTGATGAGGTGTTTGTGGTACAGGTGTGACCGGTGCAAGGAGAGGGAGTTGTAGAGAAATATGGGGGGGGGGGGGAGTTGGGATGGTGTTTGGAGAATGATCCTGCCACATCCCTGCTGGGCCTTAGTCCGAGGCTAGAGAGTGAGGCACAGAAGTAGATCTGCAGGCTGCTCGCTGGACTACTTCTTGCCTTTCCCTACTTACCCCAAGGCACTGAAAGGAAAGGGTGGTGGGCCGGGGCTCAGCCCACCAATATGTCACTGCTTTGTTTTCCCAGTTTGGCAAGTGCAGGAACTAGTTGGTCTCTGCCTGTGCTAATGATGCCCACATGGGGTCTGAACCTTGGCATAGATTCCTAGGCAGGCTTTCTCCCCCTCCTTCTTGTTAATGACCAACACAGACCCCCCCTCCCCCATCTCATAGCTTTGCATTTTATCAAGAGGGGGATAATGAATGCACAGCTATTGATTTCCAAGGAATTTCCGCCTCCAGGGATAGGGAGTCTATCATCTGGATCAGAGACACATTTCTTTCCCTCATTAATTAATTTTCTCCCCCTCCTTTGGCAGGCCCCACGTTACATTTCCTTTGGCAGCGCCTGTTTCCCAAGCCCAGGGAGAAGACATTCGTTGGCTGGAGGGAGGACCGGCGACAGAGGCGCTGTGCAAAGGCGAGCAACGCTGCGGGCGAACCCTCCAAGCCTTTGACCACCTTAACCGTCCCCACCCTCACCCCCTCCCCGCCCCCACACACCGAGTTCGGGAGAGCGCGCCTGACGGCTGCTTCGGGACCCGGCTTTCTCCTTCCAAATGGGCTCGGGGAAAGTTAGCACTGGACTCAGGAGCCGTTACCTGCGCGCACCAACACCCCCACCCCCAACTCCGGGTTTGGATCGAGTTATTTGTCCTGATTCAGGGACTGGGTTTTTGGCCCTGAGGAATATCTATTTAAGTGTGGAGGTTTTGTATGCACAGGAGGAGAGGATCCGGCCCCACGTTCTTGCCAGAACCCGGGGATCTGGCCCTACCTGTAAGCCGGGCCACCTCGGGTTCAGGAGGCCCAAGAGGGAGCTCTGCTACTCCCGGACTCGGGGTGCCAGGTTTCCTGCGGGCAGTTGCCCAGTTTGAAACGAGGCGTTCACCGCGTGCAGGAGAAGCCCCGGGGTCCAGAGTGCGCCGGCTTTAGAAGCGGCTTGGGTTGTTTTAAGCAGTGGGAAGGGGCAGGCCGGGAGGAGTAGGCCTACCAGTGTGTTCAAGGGTGGGGTGGGGTGGGGGGAGTCGGTTCTCGGAAGGGGGACTGCACGAGGGCGTCCTCGGCGCGCTCCTGCTCAGACACTCCGTCGGAGGAGTGAGCTAAGGGAAAGACTGTTGATGTGCTTTCGCTTCGCCTTGGGGCAGCCTTCCCCAGGCCATGCTTGCACTGCTTTGATCCTCGGCCTCTCTCAGCGCTACCTCTAGCGCTTCCCGGCCCTATCCCTCGGGAGGCGAGAAGAGGAGGCTCCTCGCCGGCCCTGCCAGGAGCCCTCAGACCTCCCTCCAACAGCCGGCGAGGCCGCGGAGCCCACATCGTCTGGTCCAGTGTGGTGGCCCCGCCCTCTGTCACCCCCCAGGGCCCAGATTAGCCCAAGGTGCGCGTCCAGAGCCACGCTCTTGCTGGCGGGGTCTGGGAAATCTCCTGGAGGCCAAGGTCCTTCTTTTCAACTTCGCCCTGCCCGTACCCGCGGCCGCGGGTCTCCCTCGGTCCCCAAGGTCGAGGTGGGTGAGTTATTGGGGCCGGTGTTGATTTCCTGTAAGGCTCTCAGCCTCGCATTCAGACTGGGTTTCAGCTGGGACTAGCCGAGGAGGTTCTTGAGAAAACCGCTGGAAAACCAAGTTCTGTTTCTTCTGGTCGTTTAATTCAAATGCAACTTCAGTTGGGACCATTTTCCTGGGTGTGGACCACCCCACCCCGAGATGTCGCTGATGGCCTTGCGACCCGAATGATGCTTCCCAGTCAAGTTCACTGCAGGTCGTTATCACTCTTGGCGCTACGTGTGTAGAGGTCTATG